TTAATAACCATTGTGTCTTGTTTCGTTTATCTGACACCTCCAACTATTTTAAGTTTAAAGGGTATGGAAAATGCAAATATAAATTTGTTTTATTTCCTTGACACCTGAGTAGGCTAACTCTATTTTCGATTTGAAAAAATCATAATAAATGAGGGCTTACCTTAACTTAAATGGATTTCCACTCTTATTTTACAGGCGCTTCAAACCCAAACAGTTTGCTATTTCCCGGCTTAATTGGCGGCGACAGGCGGCGCAGGCAGCAAATTGAGACGGAATAGCAACAACAAAAAGATATTGCAGGCACCACAGTGACAACAACAACCACAACAAGCACAGCAACAACAAGGAAAGTTAAATTAAGTTAGCGTCTGCAGACAACAAATCTCGGTTTGTGTGTCTGTCCATATGCTCATTGCGCATAAATAAAAATCAACTTGTAAATTTAATATGTCGCTATGTTTTTCTTGTTTCCACTCCTTTTTTCTCTTTTTTTGTGGCGCTTGCCGATGATTTATGCTGATGTATTTTGAGCGCCAACGTACTAAGAAAAAATAGTACGGATTGCACAAATATAATCAATCGAAAATGCAGAAAAACAGAAAAACAAGTTGTAACTGACAGAAGGATTAAAAATCAAGTTTTCAAGAACACTTGCAATTACTGGATCTTTTTATTCAGTGTCAAAACCAATAAGAAGATAATATTAAGGATGAAAACATGTTGTAGCTTATTGTTGAAATTATTAAGGGTACATACATAAACAATATTTGATTGACAACATTAGTTTTTAAATATTCGATGATAAGTAGCATAGCAACCTCAAGCAAAGTTAAGTTTGTTTCCTTGCGAGAGAAGCTAATTGATAGGCAAAGAAAACAGCCTACAAATTTAATTGTCACACATTTAAATTAGTTGGAAATTACCCACACCATTTTCCCCGTTTCCAAATGTAATTCTCAAACCTGTGAACGAGGCAATGGACACTGAGTAATGACAATTTCAGGCCCTGGCGACAGTTTGACACTTTTTTGGACGTGGATATGGCTGTGGATGTGGATCTGGGTCTCGGTCTTGGTCGTGGTTATGGTATTGTGGTCTATGAGTTGGGGATCTGTGGAAAGGGCAGATCAACTTTTCTCAAGGAAAACAAACATTTTCTGCCGTCGCATGAAGTTGCATGTGTGGAAACGAAAGCAAAATTAGGCTGCATTTAAAGAGTGGGGGTTACCAGTGGGATAGGGGGTTTTCCCAGTGCCACATCCATATACATTTCCAGATCCAGACCAAGTGCAAGTATGATGTATGTGGGTCTGTCTCAGTTTTGAGTGCAGCGAGCAAAATAAATGAGTTTGTCAGCCGGCAGCGACATGATTTGATAATTGGTTTTAAAAGAAATTCGAAAGCTGAAGTTGCAGTTGAAGTTGTGGGGGTAAAACAGGGAATGGAAATGTCTTTGGCTTTGAGTTTTTTTTTTTGACAGGGAAATGATAAGTCAACTCCTATTAGCATGCTAATAAAAGAAAAAAATAAATTATTAGCAGGAAAAGAGCATTTATGAACATTATTATGACACATTAGTCATTAAAGACTATTGCCTATAAAAGTGACTTCTGCTTGATTGTGTAAAAAGCCACTTATGAAGAGTTTTCTAGTTAATTTGCTTAATTTGTTGTCAAACCAACTATTTAAACCTATTATTCTTTTTTATTACATTCAATTGGTAAATATAATATTATAAATATTACAATAATATTTGATTTTAAAGAAGCAACTCTTCTTATTCCTTAAATATTTTTCTTTAAATATGTAAATATGTGAATATAATAAAAAAACTATTATCATGCAAATATCTTCATTAGTTTCGGCCAATATTAACGTTGGGCTATGACCTCTCTTGAGCCACAAAACTTTTGGCCATTGACTCTTGAGTGTTGGGTTCTTCGGAATTGGCTTAAACAATAAAAGACTTAACAGGGTCGCCCAATCTGACTCACTGATGGCGGTTCAGAAGTTTGGACTTTTGGGTGGGGCTCTCACCCAGATTGCGACTCATTTTCAAAGTTTGTTGCGGTTATGTAAGAACCCCAACCCCAAATGACGCATATTCGAAAAAACGAGAAATAAAATCAGCATAATTTCTGACACTTTGTCAGTTTTGTGATGGAATTCCAGAACGGTTTAGCACAGTATCTAATTACTCGCCCCCACAAATCGAGGCCTTTTCATCTAAATTCTCAATGGTTATTATTCCGTCTCTTGGGCGCCCATAATGGACTCATTAACATGCGTTTCGCTATGGGAGCTGCTTAAATGCAATCTGGTCGTCTGCGGTTGTTTTGCTCTATATTGTGTTGCATGTTGCTGGTTGGGTGCTGCATGTTGCTCGTGGCAGCTCATTGTTGTCGTTGGGGCGTGCAGTTGCACTTGTCGCTGCCCATAAATTAAAGTTCTGGCTCCCCTTATTGTGAGAAATATTTGTCGCATGCCAAAAAATTTTACAAGCGACAGCATTTTCCACATGTTGGCGGCTGAAATTGCATTTCATGGCTTCTCTGGAGTGCTGGTTCCCCCATCGACATTTAATTCTGCGCAGCTGTTGCCGAAGGACGATGGGCGGGTGGCGCCAGGAAACGATATCCTTGGCAATGGTCAAGTTCATGTCAAGGCTAAGTACAAACAGGAGCAGCTTCACTGGAGCTTAAACTGGCAGCAGCTGGAAAATAAGAGCCAGGAAAAACTAAAGAAATACAAGACGTGTATACCAGTTTATAAGTAAAATGCTCGTTAGTGCACCAGAGGACACCTAACTAGGTGTTTTAAGAAATAAATTATGTTTCGTATAAGCGAATTTAAACTGTTTGTTAATAATTAAATAGAGTTACTCATATAACATGTTAATTTGAAAAATATATAAAACTAAAGTTAACACCATTTCATTGATTTAATTGAAATGGCGCAGTTAACAAACCTCTTTTAAAGTTAAAAGAGATTTGCAGCAATAAATAAAAGTGTAACTCAATGTAATTCTTAACTAACATATTTTGTTCTTAAATCTTTTGTAAAAACGATCTTTATTTGATAATAGTAAGGTCAAAACATACTTTAATTTCTTACATGATTTCATATAGGTATATGTGCTCCCTCGTTTGCTGTTACCATTTTTAAACTCAAATGTAAACTTTGGGAGTAATTTTGATGCTCTGAAATAAATTAACTTTGTATATTTTGTACAAAATGTTTTGCTTTTTATTACCTGTAATTAGATTTCAAGTATGCAGACAATTATTCCTTGAGCGTATTAAGTAAATAATACAAATGTAGTCCCGGAGCAACTCATCTATGTTCCCAACATCTCATCTCATCACATGTTTTTGCTTTTAGGTCTGACAGTTTTTCGCCAGGAATTAATTAAACGGATCCTGCACTTGTTGGCAATTGTAGGCAGCCAACTTTGGGCCAATAAATCCTTGCCGCCTGTCACAAAATTCCTTGGAGTCCTCCGTCTTTTGACAACCTGGAAGGTACACGATAAGGCGAAGATATCCACTTAAGCGAAGGAAAACTCCCTTCGTGACGTAGACAAATTAGTGCAGTTTAAATTAGCAGGCGACTAATTTGATTACGAGCTTGTGAAAAATGCCCCGTCTTGTCAGGGAGATTTTAATAGACAGCAGGCAATTTAAATGAAAACTCTCCTGGAGTTTGCACGTAATTAAAACACAATTCAAAATGCAAGCATACAGACGAATGTACAAAAAAGCCATGTTTATTTTCAACAAAACGAGAGAATTTTCCTAATTGCCACTGGAATTTGTCTGCTTTCCTTTGCCAAATTTTCGCTTAAATATTGACGTTTGGGTGACAGAGATTTTGATTGCAAAATGCAAAGTTTTACGTCTCAGCCACAGGCCAAAAATGTTGAATAAATATTTAGTCAGCAAACAATAGTGACTTGCTCGAAATGGGAATAGCAATGAAAGGGAGTGTTATTGATTCAGCTTCGGCTTAATTAAGTGGCAGGGTGAAATATCCCAGAAATGATTTACTATGTCGAGTGCGAAAGTGCATTAAAGCGAGCCAAAGATAAACACAAGGAAACCCTAATGACCATATATTCCGTGCACATATAGGTAAGTAATACTGGTGTGCGGCTCATCAATCATCCGCTGTGTGAAACTTTTAGCGAAAACGTTTAAACGTGACTTCCGACTTTGGGGAACAGAATACCGAAGCCCGAAACCCGTAACCCGTAACTCGAAACCCCAGACTGAGCATTAATCGTGCTGTGATGTTACTTCGCCCCTAAGTGAAATATTTATTACAGCCATGTATTTCTATCTGAGCCAGCGCAAGGTGCCAACTCTTGTGGCCGGCCAATTCCAATTCGGGACTGGCCCCCAAAATCGTCTGCTGAACCCGGCATAAATCAATTATTTTGGGATAACCGCTTAACGGTCGTTTCCCCGCCGGCCTGTATTCATAAGGCAAACCCCTCTATCGGTCCCTCGTTTCGGATGCGTTCACATGCTCGCCTGCATTCGAAAATTGCATTGAACCCTTTTAAGCGTTTCGCCAATTCGATTTGACCTTTCGGCTGAACTTTTCGCCTGTTTACAGCTTTGGACTGCGGGGTAATCACGTTTGCCACAGCATAATTGTCCATAATGGGAGCAGTTACACTGCCTTTAATATTTTAACCGAACGTATCAAGATATTTTAAGGTTTTTAACTGCATTAACATTAAACTTAAAATGCTTTTGCAGTTGAATAAATCGTATTACCTTGCAGAAACTATGTTCCGATTTGGATTTTAGGACTTATAAAGGTTGTAAATATCTAAAAAATAGTTTTGTGTCCATCAAATAATAATGCAAAACAACCTTCTTGTGTCTAAAAACTCAATCAAGATTTTGTATTATAAAAGATAAAAAGCGCCACCTATTGGGAAAAGTGCTGCCCATCGGGAGAACACCAAAGGCGCCCTTTTCAAAATGACAAAATCGATTTATACATTTATTACTTTTACAGAAATTCTTGGAATACCTTTCAATATCATAAGAACCGATACATAGGATTGTGGGAAACGAGAATTTATCACGTTGGATTGCAAATAACCCAGTTTCACCAAACGACACTAATAAATATCTTGAATTTATATTCAACATGCGACTTAATTTAGTGATTGACTTTACAAATGGCCTGGTGGCGTCTTTTGTCGCGTCGCTGGCACTCTCCGCTGCAGTAGGACGCAGTGAAGCAGCAGTCGAAGACGGCCTCCTCCAGGCAGAGGTAGCACCACTGCTTTCGCTTGACTTCATCCAGCTTCTGTTGCATGGCGGTCAGCTTTCTCTGGCACTTCAGTAGATCCTCGTGCGCCCGCAGTATTTCGGCGGTTAGTTTATCATAGGTAACGGAGTCAGGAATCGTTGCTCGAGTTGGTACCGGAGAAGGGGCATCCGGAGTGTTGGGATTAAGCCTTCGCTTCTTCGCAGTGCCCGGATTGGCCGGAGTGGACGGCCTTCCTCGCTTGCTCGTCGTCGGCGCTTCTGATGATTCCGTGCAATGCGACAGGGCTACTTGTATGAGATTCTCCGCCGTGGCGGGATCAGCATGAAAGCCGAACAGCGAGGCGGAATAGTGGGACAACATCATGTGGCACTGCAGTTCCCTCAACGCTGCGCTCAGGGCTCTCGAGCTCCGGGGTTTAATTTGCGACTGAATATCCGACTCAATAGGAGTGATGTCACGTTCCGATATGAGTGCCCGCGAATGGGAGCCACCGAAAAAACGTACATCGTATTTGATAGGCTGCCTTTTGGACACGCTCATAACCTAGGTAAGAAAAAATATTAAAAATTATATATATTAAGCTAAATCTTAGATTGAAGATGTGTATTTCAACAAGACCAATGATGCAGTTAAAGTTATTTAAAGAAGTTAAAGAAGACTAATTACAGTTACCACCCAATTTCATTTGAGTTAGCAATTCAAATCAAATGAAGGCTTTATGGGACTCCTACCTTTGCGGGCCATGGTGGCGAACCTGTTTGTTTGGCGAAAACCAACTCGTGCCTCTGGAGACATGGTTTGGCGAACCAGAGATCCGACAGACTAGCCTCGTTGGAATACCGATAGCAGTCGGGACACCGTCGGATTTCCCGGATGTCGTGGGTAACATCTCTCACCAGCCACTTGGTGGCATTGTACTCCTCGCTCTTGGGCCCAAAGAACACCGCAATATTGTGCTGAAGATCGAGCAGATGCATCAGGAACTCCGTTAAGTACGTATACTTATTCGCCTCGATGTTCCGCTCGATGTCGGCCAGCCCCAATATCTTAGATTTGAAGAGAATGCGCTTGATCAGCGCTTTGTCGCGTTCGTTCCAGTGCTTGGCCATGTACTTGGCCACATCCATGGTTATCCAGGAATGATGCTTCTCCCAGGAGTATTTTAAAAGGCAGCCTAGTTCCTGTTTATCCAGCTGCGGGGGATTGTGGAGGGCGGCAAGGGAGAGCAGCCGGCAGCGAGTGCATCGCCCCAGATCGCTGCCCTCATCGCTGTCCAAACTGGTCTGCAGTTCGTCCTTGATCCTGGCCTGCTGTCGCTGGCGGGCGCCCTTCTGCTCGCTCACGAAGAAGACATCGTCGTCCCACTCGAGACTCTCATGCTTAAGAGAATCCGGAGTTGCTAGTAAATCCTGATTGATGTTACTATTGTAATCGAGCAGGGGCTTTGGCGTGGGCGTCTGGCTCGCCTCAACGATCTGATGGTTTTCCGGCTCCTTGTCTGATTCGTTGACTGGGAATCGATAAGGCTGACCCTTGTCCGAAGGCACCGAATAGTTGGGCTTTTCAGGATCCTTGCGTTGGCAATCTTCGTGGAAAGAGCGTTCGCAGGACGAGCATTTCTGAATTACTCCTGGCAAATGGCACTCGAAACAGTAGGGATCACTTGTGGAGCTGGGCAGGCTGCTGACTTTTTGGCAGAAGGTCAGGGTCAGACGCTTGGCTCTTCCACCGAGTGCCCTCGGAAGCAGGATTCCCCGCTCCGTGGCATTCGCCACCGACAAACTGGCCGCCTCTAGACAAAGATTGATTTGTTAGTGTTCGAGTTCTGGTATCAGCCCACTTACCAGCGCTCATAAAGTTCAGCAGGGAGCGCTCCAGGATAGCAGCCGGCTGGCCACCGCCCTTCTTCAGCTTGTGCATCCAAATCCGGATGGCCAACGGCGGAAAATCGCTGGCCATTTCATCTGCGTTTTAACTAAGAGTCAATCCTTGTCCAAAGTGGAGGTGTTGCCGGACTGATTGATTGGCCAATCTGCGTTGCCAACTATAAAAAGTGTTGCCGTTTAGTATACAGTTTTAAAAATTATTTAACAAATTAAAATTATTTCAAATCGCTAGGCCTCGGCAATTTTTTGTTTTTATTTGGAAGATTAGGATTTTAGAAACAAAATAATGTATACCTACATCATTTTAATTAAAATTTTTTCGAATTAAAATTGCTGAGTTCACCATACCATTTTGTATTTATATTTTTAAATTAAAAACTAATTGTTTTTTTGTTAGACAAGTTTTAATAATTATTATTAATTTAAATTTTGAAAACGGGACTTGCATAAAACAGATGACAAACAGCCGACCAAAATTCAACTATTCAAAAGTATTGAGAATACCCTTAATAATTTATTAGGAATATTTCGGTATTGTCAGCGAGTTAAGCCCGGCCACACTGTTCTACTGGGAGCAATTTGGTCGTTCGAAAAACAGAAGAAATAAAAACAAATCAAATGGCCGGACGTGAAGCCGTGAAGCGAGCCGTGCAGCAGGTGCGCCCCATTCTGTCCGTGGATCGGGAGGAGGCCCGCAAGCGTGCCCTCAATCTGTACAAGGCCTGGTACCGCCAGATTCCCTATATCGGTGAGTGCTCCTGGTTATGTCATCAGAATCTGCATCCCGACGCCGAATAATCCACTTCGATCCCTTGCAGTCATGGACTACGACATCCCCATGTCTGTGGAACAGTGCCGGGACAAGTTGCGCGAGGAGTTCGTCAAGCATCGCAGCGTGACCGACATCCGGGTGATCGATATGCTGGTCATCAAGGTAAGACCCTCCAAAGATTCCTACAGAAGGTAACACTCGCCCTTTATGCAGGGCCAAATGGAGCTCAAGGAATCAGTGGAGATCTGGAAACAGAAGGGCCACATCATGCGCTACTGGAAGGAGTCGCAGGATCCCAAGCCAACGGACTTCCTCTCAAAATTCATCCAGGGCGTTAATTAGTTATTGAAATTGAAATAGTTTAAATACAAACTCCTTCAGAGTGTAAATCAAACTCGAGAGCATTTTGTGCGCTTCAGAAACGCTTGTTTCCTTCTTGTTTATTGAGATTGTGACTTCAAAAATATCATGGTTTCACTGTGGGTACATGTAAAATGTACGTTTTGGTCTGAGTTCTCTGAGCAAAAAAGTTGTTCGAACTAAAAAGGTGGTGGTGTATGTATAATGCTTTGTCGGTTAAGGTGATTTGTAAAGTGCAGACAGTCTTCTAGTTCTCGTCAGCTATTATTCGAGCCGTTTGATTTTGTAAATTCTATGGACCGGCTCTCGGTTTAGGGTATCAGGTTTAGCAGGTTGTCTAGGGCGGTGGAGCTGGCAAAGAGATCTGTGGTTATGTCGTCATAGTCCACGCCTAGGCTCTGCAACTCTGTGAAGCACTCCTCCGGAAAACCGGGTATCTCCAAAGAGTTGTTTGACCTGTTGAATGCATCGTGTCGATTGGTGTAGCCCTTCTTCTCACGGAACATCTCGGCCAGCTGCTCGTCGCTCAGCTCGACGCCATGCACCTTTTTGGAATGTTGCCGGAATCTGTAAGTTGGATTTTGATAAACTTATGATGAAGTTAAAGATTAAGTTACTTACTTGCTGCGATCAGAAAATTCGACGGTGCAGTTCTCACACCTGTACGGGTACTCCTTGTGCTCGTACTGATGTTGACGCCTTCGCCACCTGTTCTTTGTCTCAAAGTTGCATACCTCGCAGCGCCAGACCTTCGGCTTCTGGTGACTCCTCTGTTCGTGCTCGCGCATCAGGACCATGTTTTGAAACTGGCTGCCGCAGGTAGGGCAACTCACCTGCTCCTCGTTCACGTGGGCCCGTTCGTGGTGAACTCGCAACTCCGCTGAGTTAACGTAATTCAGCGAGCACTTATCGCACTGAAAGTGTCGCTCAGAGTGCCGCTTTCGATGCATCGTGAGGGTGTCGGCGCTCTTGAAGCTCCTGTGACAGATCTCACAATCGTGTAGAGTTTCCACGGCATGCAGTTGCTGCAGATGAAGCTCATACTTGCGCATGCTACTGAACTCCTGATCGCAGAAGGTGCAATGGACAAAATCCTTCACCTGACAGAATCGCTGATGGCTATGAAGGCTGGCCTTTTGATTGAACACCTTGTCGCAGACCTTGCACGCATATGTCTCCGTTGGCGACACTACCACCTGCACCGGAGTGTGCACCCTGGTGTAATGCTTCCTAGCCGACCGCTGGTCCTTGAATATCCTGTCACAAGCAGGACAGTTTGCCTGCATATAGCAGTACATTTCTGGAAGAAACCAAAATTTAGTACGAGTATTTTAAACTGAATCTTTCCGCCTACCAAAATCCCCATCTATTTTATGGTGATCTATTAGATGTTTCTGCATTTCATTCCTGTCTTTTGTTTCATAACTATTGCAAGGTCGGCACTTAAAGTTTTGATCTGCAATAAATCAATATTTTAACAGGTACAGATTATATTATAAGGAGCAACCCACTTTTGTTTAGGCCAATTATTTCATCTTCGGCCATAGATATTTTGTGAATACTTTTGTAATGACTTCTCAGCTGCTCCGCTTCGGTATGCGTATATTGGCAAATATTGCATTTTAAGAGGGGTATATTGGCCATCATACTGCTAGAGGTGGCCTCTTGGAGTAAAGGTGATGAAGGATCCTGTCCCCCACAGGCTGTAAACCAAAAAATAAATATAACCCTAAGGTACATTACATTTTTAGCTTACATTTAAGCTGATTTTCATTGTTGGACTTTTCCTTTTTCGGACTTTGACTGCTGCCATCATCATTCAGTGTCATATAAAGAGCACGTTGTATAAGATCGCACTCGATATCCGAGATTTCGCCGTTTTTGTTATTGAAATTATAATTGTTATTATTCTCGCCGCTTTGGCTGCCCACTGAGGTGGTAATAGCTGCATCTTCAGGCGTAATACTGCTTTCGAAGAAAGTCTCATTGTTCTTGGCATCCGAGCCGTCGTTTTCGTCCTCCTCCTCCAGATCGTTGGTGTCATATTTGACATCAAAAAGGATAACTTTTTTAAGGAGAGGACAGTTCGTTAAATTACATTAAGTATAAGATATAAGTACCTACTTTCATCTTCTTTAGGCGTTTTCGTGCTGTTCGGCGCATCGGCATCCAGACGTGGTATCTTGGCCCCTCGCATGTACAGGACATTCTCCTCGATGGGTCCCGTCGTCCCCTCGTAGCCCTCAACAAACTGCTCGAACTCCTGGCTAAACTGATTCCAGTGGAGCGTCTCGCTGCTGGCCTTCCGTTTCAGTTCGCCGGTGGGACTGGGCAGCTTCACGCTCTGGGCCTCGGCGTACAGCTTGAGATTCGATTCCAAGGCCATTTCGACAAAGTGCATGGCCACCTCTAAGGCGCGGCAGCAGCGCACGCAGATTTGCATGGGCCACAGGTAGCCACCCGGACTTATGACACGCAGGTCAAGATTGGTGCACTGCTTCAGGCTCTGGGCGTAGGTGCGGGACTTCTGTAGGTTTGGAATCTCGGCGCTCAGTTGAACGGTTTTACGGTCCACGGACAGACATGCTCGACACTTGGAACTTTTATTCAACATGTTCATGGCCACCAGCGCGGGATCCGCTGCGGATGTGGTGGCGTCCATGGCGCTCCGGTTGGATACTCCGCCCCGTCGGATTATCTGTTTGTGTTGATTTTTTGAAAATAAAATTGGCAAATAATGTGTATATTGTGCAGCTTTTTTGTGATTAAAATCAGTGTGACCATGGTTGGGTTTGCTAAAATTTCTCAGGATTTTTTGGTTCTTGAGTGTTTTTTAGTTGTAGGGGCGCATGTAGTGCGATTTTAAGGGGGTCTGCCCTTGACCCACAGAAAAGTGTACAGAAATTAAATGAGCATTTTAGACGTACACAATTTTCCAAAAACAAAACAATTAAGATGTTAAGTTGACTCCCATAGATACAATCCTGCTCACGCCACTGCCACTGCATTAGTTAGGTATATTTCCGCCTTGGTCACACTGCACAGAATGTATATGATGGACGGACGGACACTCCCTTGAGCGGACAAGGAATTTCCTTATTTCTGCATCGTGTTGAGTCAACTACAGCAAATGAAAGAGTCCCCTGCTGTTCGTCAATAAACATGCTATCGAAACGAGCCAGGAAACAAAAAAATAGCTTAAATTTGGAAGAGAAAATGGAAGTGATCCGGATGCACGAGCAAAATAAATTAACGGTGCGGGATCTGGCGAAAAGGTGACGTCGTTGATACTTTAAAAAAAGTAATAATTCTGAATTCCTACAGATTCAACATTGGCAAAACTCAAGCTGCTGAAATTTTGAAACAAAAAGAGGCAATCAGGGATGGATTGACGACCGGAGAACTGAAAATGAGCCAGATGCGAAGGAATCCCCTCAGCCAGCAGGGCGCCCACATAGACGAGCTGTGCTTCGACTGGTTCTCCAGGGCCAGAGTTGATAACATCCTCATATCTGGAGAAATGGTTCGGCAAAAGGCCAAGCAGATAGCGGACGAGGTGGGCTACGCCGGATTCTTGGCCTCCTCCGGATGGCTGCAGAAATGGCGAAAGCGGCACAACATCGCCTACAATGCCACAGGCGACAGCCTGGATCTCCAGGAGTTTGAGGCCGTTCTGGTCAAGAGCGAACCTATATCGAACAGGGACGATGATGATGATGATGATGAGCCTTCGCCCGTGCAGTTGATAGGCCCCATCTTTTCAATTGACGAGGCCATGATGCAGTTGGCTCGCCTAAAGGAATTCGCGAGGGATGACTATGTCTCTTACCAGCAGCTGCTCAGCTTGGAGAATCAGTGGAGCTGGAAGTGGAACAACTTTAAGAAGGAAGTTCCATGACCTTCGTGAGCCGATTGTTTTTAAAAAGTATATATATTTCACTCGAACCTAGTGTTAAAAGTAGTTTAGTATGTTTCAAAAGTTTTAATTTTAATTTTAATTAATAACATCGTTTGTTTTTAAAGGTCTTTTTTTTGGCTCAAACTCATGGAAGGGACAAACTAAATACTTTTATAACATTATATTAAGGACGTTTATTGCTCGCAAATATATAAAATACATGACCCATAAGGAAGTCGTTTTGCAATGAGAAAAAAAATACATAATATTGGATCCTTAAAGACTAATTGTGAAGCTTTTTTTCTTTGGCCAAAGCAGAGCCAGCTGGTGGAGATTGCCTCAATCGTGGTTAGGGATCAAATTATGGAATTTATGCCACCCTGAGGCTCGTTTCGGAATATTACATTTAGGGCCATTAATATAATTTGGGTTACAATTTCACTTGACGATTTCCATTTGTACAAATCTGTCGATCAATCAATGTTTGTTATATTTCGGCTTATGTAGCATGAGAAATTAAGTTTACTGCGCATAATCTACAACTTAAAATTAAAATCTTCAAGACATTAGATGTGCTAAAATGAGGATGAGAAACAGACTTAGACTATATCAAACTTTGTACATTGTGCGATTACTTTGCTTGATTGATGAGAGCATTAATTGGAACTACTTGGAATTATCGGCTGCAGCGGCGGTCTCGTCTCTGATTTCATCTTCGGCGTCCAGATCCTTACGACTTGTAAGTTGCCCCCCGTCGGTTTCTACCTTAAGGTCATCCGGATTGGTATATATTTTACCGTTTGCAGTAATGGCAGCCATCTCTTCGCCGGTCAGACGGATGTTGTGAATCTTGAGGACATGGGTTTGCAGTCTGTATGGGAAATATTTTTAAATTAGATGTGCAAAAGCATAGAACAGGTCAACAGCTCACCTGCCACGCCGCAAATATGTGCGATCGCACTTTGGACACTGGTATGACACCGTGTCCTTGTGCTCGCTCATGTGATTCCGCAGATGCATACTATTCAATAGTTCCTTGTTGCAAACAAGGCAATTATACCGTGGGGTCTGATGGGAGGCGTTCTGATGACGAACCATGTGATGCTTAAAGGCGAACATCTTCCGGCAGCCATCGTACGAACAACGTATCGTCTTCTCTTTGCTGTGTTTGCTCTTCGTATGCCGCTCCAGCTCCGCGTTCGTCACAAAGGTTTTGGGGCACAAATTGCAAGGCTTCCGATGGGCATGCCGTTTCATGTGAAACTTAAGCAGCGTCAACGTGCGGTAGGAGGTATTACAAATGGCACACTTGTGCTGGTAGCCCCAACGCGCTCTTTCCGTATTGGAGTGCATCTCCATCTCGTGCTTGACCAACTTGCCCAACTCGTCGAAGGCCTTGCTGCACAGCTTGCAGATGTAAATGGGACCGCGGGGCAACCGAGACATTGAGCGCAGACCCTTCGCAGGCGATGCAGCCATGGCGGCGGCTGACAACAGTTTGTCGCTCCCGTTAGCGGACGAGGCATCCGTGCTGGTGGCTTTGGAAATGGCATGGGGATTGGGAGTTAATCGCTGGGTGGATTCCCCCATGAAGTCATAATCGAAATCAAATGGTGTGGGTGTGGGAAAGAGGTTGGTTGACGATGAGGTTGTGGTTGTGATGGGTGATCCGGAGGATGTAGTTGCCGCTGTTATTGCTGCTGCTGCCGCTGTTATTGCTGCTGCAATTGCTGTTGTCGTCACCGCTGTGGCTGCGTCCAATGTCACTGGATCAAGTTCTTCCTCTGGCACTGCCGATTCCATTTTTCTTGCTGCTCCATCTTCTCTGCCTGCTCCTTCTGGTGAGAACAACAACAATCATCAACAACGATCATTGTTCGTTATCAGAGCGCGATTTTAGTTTATCAATCGAATGGTGCGTTTGGGCATAGTTGGAATGGGAATTTGAGTTCAATCTTGCAAGGCTATTGAGGCTCTTACCATTGCCACCGCCATTGCTAGCTAAGGCAGCCGACGCTATTCTCTCAGCCCCACCGTCCGTCTGCATCATCTCATTATGTTTGCCATCCTCTACACCCGGGTTCTCTGTCCCGGAGCTTGACGCCCTGGATGTGGTGGTGGCAGCCGAATGCGGCGTTTGCATCTCAATAATTGTGTCTACCAAGTGACTGCGCTGTAAGTGGCGGCTAAGAGTGCTCTTAGCCGCAAACGATCGAATGCAGCGTGGGCACTCGAAGGGTAGTTCTGTGGATAGATAACGGAAATGTAAATTTAATGGTTTAGTTAGATAGGTTTAAAATTACGATAAATAGGTCAATCTGAAAATTTTGTAATCACTTACTGCGTATAATAAACACCTCATTGGCATGCACTGACACTGCAATCAATAGAAAACATTGTGGTTATTAATAAAACGTTATAAAAACCCTTAAATATTATTACAACAATACTTTTTAAAAATATTTTGTAGTGTAAAAATAAATTTATTAAATGCATTAAAACTATATTTAACTTGTTTGTCCAAAAGTGAATACTTATTACAAATGAAAGTCTAAATCAACTTTACTTACCACCATCATTGATGCCGTGGTGGGCATTCAAATGCTTCCGCATATCAGCATCCGATTCGCACTCGAACGGACATTTAGCGCACATGAGCATGGGTTCTGAAAGCAGAAATAAAAGGCTGAAGGTGCAAATCTAATAAAGTTTTATTCTAGCTTACTCTTGATCTTGTCCATACAGAGCTTCTCAATGTTGGTACGTGCAACGCAAACTTTATCGCCCTTGGCCTGGACCATGTCCCTTGTTGGCATTCGTTTGTGCACGGTTTTGTAATGCCTAATCAACAGTCGCTTCATGTTGTAGAGATTGGTGCACAGCTCGCAGCGATAGGGTGCTAAGCCTGAAGCCGAACACAGGTATATGAGTATTAGGTTACCAGAGCTCAGTAGCTCTTCTGACTCACCCCGATGGACAAACATGTGATTCTCGAATTTATACTGGCTTGTAAACTTCTTGTTGCAGTAAATGCAATAAGGCTTCTGTAGATGCTTCGATTGCTCGTCATCAAAGTCGTCCACATCATCATCGTCGCTAGTTAATAGCAGATTCTGATCAGTGGCAGCATCATTGTTGTCATTCTCGTCATCGTTGTCGGCGTCTTCCTCTTCTTCCTCCTCCTCTTCGCCCACCGCATCGTCCTCCTCCTCAAAGTCCTCGAACAGATTCTCGGCATCAAAATCAATACTGATATTGTTATTATCGATCACAATATCATCGCCATCTACCACGGGCATATCATCCGCGGGAATGGTGCATATCGCAGCCACATCGGTGTTGTCAATGAAATCCTGCATGTCGCCAAACATCGAGATGTTAGACGTATTGGCGGATGGCGTTTGCTGAACGGATTCGTTCGCTGGAAGATTGGTCTGTGAGATCTCCGGAAAGATTCCAAATGCTTTGCTGTCGGTTCCGCCTGTGCATTCCCCTACTGTTGTCACTGGAACCGATTGTGTAACGACCGTCGCACTGGAAGTTGGCGCATAGAAGAGCGGCGTGGCATCCACTACCATGTTGATTTCGCCTGTTTGCGTGATAGGCGTTGATGTTGTGGTGGACATGACCGCTGGCTGCTGCTCTTCTACCTGCGTTTCCGAAACAATTGGCGGATCTACAACAACTATCGGATCTGAATCGATTGGCGGATCTGCAACAACTGGAAGATCTGCAAAAAAAGGTATAACATTATAAACTTTTTACTTCTGTGTAGAATATTGGCATGATGGTTACCAGAAAATCACCGCCAGTTAAATGAATCAAAAATTCGAATAAAATTAAAATTGTAAAACGAGAACGGAAACGGATGACACTCGAAATAAAAATTAATCTTCAATACTCAACCAAATTTTATCAAAGCGTACGCTCATTCGTTTGCGACTCATTTTTAACCCTCCAAAAAACGAATTTAGTTTGAATTCCCTGGATAAAACGATCTTAAGACTCACATTTAATGCCCACTGGGATGTCGTTGTCTGATTTCCTGGCTACATTCGGTGACGCTTGAACAGTGCTGGCTCCCACATCGCTGGTCCAGCTGGGACGCAGCTGCACCTCTGTGGGCTGGACCGTGTGCCGCTCCTTGTAATGGACTCTCAGCTGACTGGGGGTGCGCGTCTCGAAGAGGCACATGTCGCATGAGTAGACGCCCGACTCTTCCCCCGGCGCCGGGTCCTTCTGGCTCTTTCCGCTCTCATTAGACCGATGGTGAACCATTTTGTAGTGCTGGATGAGATCGGAGCTGCGCAGCGAGTAGAAATCGCACTGGTCGCAAAAGAACTTGGGCAAATCTGTTCGAAACAAAGGGACAGACATTAAATATCGCGATTGCTAAACTATCGAGCTTGGTGGAATCAACTAACTGCTGTGGGTCAACTGGTGAGATTTTAGTCGCGCCACTGTTGAAAATGTTTTGGGACACAGCTTGCACTTGTGCTTGTAAATGGGCGATCCGCCAACGACTGGCTTTGGCTTGACTGGAAGCATATAAGAGACTGTAAACGGGTAATCCAAGATTTACTATCTGATCCTACCTCTTATCTGCGGCATTACTTCCTCCACGATCAGCTCGCTAACATCAATATCCATTGGCTCGCTAGGGTCATCGCCGGATAGAAGATTTTGTAGGCTAATATTTACATTGGGGTGATTGTTCGGCTTGCTATCGTCAATATACTCTATGACCACGCCTGCAAAGAATCGGTATGAGTACAAATTCTTGAAAAGTTACTCCCAGCTGGATAGACCCACCGCTTCCGTTGACCTGCTGCAAAGAGCCATCGGGCAGGACGAGGTACTCGGTGCCGATGCTAACATTGGGGGTATCCATAGGCGGCAGGGTGGAGGTGAGGGTGTCCACTCCCGGCCCCGCCTCACCCATGCTGACGGCCAGCTGCTGCTCGATGTCCCGCAGCTGGTCTGAATCGATCTGCGACTGCTGCTGCACGTAGTCATCTGGGGCTAGAACAGTGGGTATCAGCAGCTCCATGTCCTCCAGCGTGCACACCGCCTTGGGCTCTTCGCTATTGGGTGCTTGCGATTTTTTCGATTTGATATGGTCGTCCGCCTGGCTAATGGACAGCCCATGAAGTGTGACATAGTGTTCCAGCAGCAAGCGTTGTTTCAGTGTGGTGAAGATGCAATATTGGCAGTTGTACGAGATACCCTCTGAAATAAAATTGAGCGTATGATTGATTATGTGGAACATTGTTTGCTTTAGGGCCAACCTGTACCTGCATGCTGGCGGATGTGCTGCTTAAGCTCCAGGCGATTGTAGACTACCACTCCACACACCTGGCACTCGTGCCGCATGGTCTTCAGTGGTTTTGTCTCCTCCTCGTCCTGCTGAAAATAAAAAAGAGGAAAATGTAGGCCGACATTTAGAACCCTATCAACCAAACAAACCTCCTGTGGGACTGGCTTGGTATGCCTCTTCTCTGACTCCAGACCAAAGGATCCATTTAGTCGCCTCTGAGACTTCGGGACCAGCTTCCTGCACAGTATCTCGTGGGCACGCAGTGCGTTCTTCAGGAAATAGTAGGCCACCTGCAGGCTCTTGCTGCACTCAACGCAGATGTACTGCGGAAGCTCCGGCGGATTTTCGGCTCCCACGCAGAAGAGCAGGCAGCGAATAAGCGGGATCTTGTCCCCAGCATCCGCGGGATCAAGGCTACGCGCCATCGCCACCGAGTCCAGTTTGAGGTACTCAGCGTTTGTCTTCAAACAGCAGCGACACAAAAACTTGTAGTCCACCTCGGCGCCCGAAACTGCGTCCGAGTGCGAGCTGTTCCTCTTGTTCAACGCCATTGTTCACGAGTTGCTCATTTGGTGGCGCTCGTTCCGGCTGGTGTCCTTCCCAACGGATTAACTGCTAACCGGAAACGATTAAACTCGATTTAACAAAAAAACTTTATTGTTTTTCTCCACTCGCGTCGCGTCGAAATAAATTGCTTAGACAGGGCTGTTTCGCATTGGGTTTTTGCTCGAACGGGTTGGCAGCTCAGTTTAGGGCTGCCCCGGCCGATTGGCAGCGCCTATCGATAACACTGCGATTTCGCGCCTTCAAATTTTCTAGGCGGCTACTTAATATTCCTTATTTTCTGGTTAGTTGGTATCTGTACTTTTATTTACTCGGCAAACTGTCTTCAATTTAAAAAAAAAATTGTATTTATAACTGCTAGTTCTGAATTGCCTCCTTTAAAATTTGTATAACCTGAGACAGACTTACTTACTACAAAAAAAAACAGGGAGAAGTGATAACAGAATATCTAAAATTATATTCTCCAAAATTATCATAGATGCATTCTTAATACTCATAAAAATGAACTCAACTTTAACAACAACAAAGTTATGGCATTTCCAATCGTTCAGTTATATGGCAGCTATAGGATAAGTCGCGTCCTATGAAATTTGGTAAGATTGGCCAAAAATAAAACCTATAGAAAATCCCAACTTCCTAACTAACAAACACCAAAGTTATGGCATTTGAACGTTCAGTTATATGGCAGCTATAGGATATAGTCGGCCGATTCTCATGAAATTGGTAGGTCAGATTGATTGGCCAAAAATAGAACCCATAGAAAATCTAACCAACTTACAAACACCAAAGTTATGGCATTTCCGATCGTTCAATTATATGACAGCTATATGCCGATCCTTACAAATTGGTAAGTCCGATTTATTGGAAAAAATAAAACCTATAGAAAATCCCAACCCTAACTTTACAAACACCAAAGTTATGGGATTTCGATCAATCAGTTGTATGGCAGCTATAGGATATAGTCGGCCGATCCGGCCGTTCCGACTTATATACTGCGTGCAAAGAAATAAGGGTGTGTGCAAAGTTTCAATTCGATATCTTTAAAACGAGAGACTAGTTCGCGTAGAAACAGACAGACGGACAGACAGACGGACAGACAGACGGACAGACAGACGGACAGACAGACGGACAGACGGACATGGCTATATCAACTCAGGAGGTGATCCTGATCAAGAATATATAACTTTATAGGGTCGGAGATGTCTCCTTCACTGCGTTGCACACTTTTGACCAAAATTATAATACCCTCTGCAAGGGTATAAAAATAAACCCAGTATAAACCAAGCATGCTTAATTTTTATAAAATGAAATAATACAAATTATACGTTATTTATTATATTACAAATTGTAAGACTTCCATCAAAACGATAACTTGTTTAAATAATAAGGAAATCTTGGAAGTTTAATTTATACGGTTCTACGTTTGTGTGGCTCTTAGAAAATATATTAATTAATAATAAGATTAATTATATTTTATTCAAAAGAAGAAGTCTAAATCAGCGGCAATACCTAATGAATATGGAGCACACCGAAATAAAACACACTTCCAGGAATAATAGTTCTCTTGAAATATCCTCAGCCCAGTAGATATGTACATATATACAAAAACTTGGCGATAACGTCAATTTTATCAAGACATACATATATAAAATCCAACCATCAGATGTTTACTCTAAAATGTATTTTTAGAGCCTTGTTTGTTTCTTTTTATTGATATCTACATAAGTGACACACCTGTAGATTACACCGACAGTCTCAGGGATCTCAAAATTAGTACGAGGTAAATAATGTGTCTCTTGTTAGTTTATTAGCTACGGTTTAATAGTTTATAGCTTTGTGTAAATTATTAACTGGTGTACTCCATGGGCACGCACTCCTCGGCGGCCACCTCGTGCGAATGCGAATCGTCCTCCATCAGGTGTTGCAGGCTTTCGTTGGGGTAGCTAAAAAAACTGTGCTATTAAAAAAATGTCCATATGAAATGTCAAATTTTTAGTTACCACTTGGAGGGACTTTCGTCGCTGAGCATTGTTGTGGGCACGGTGGCCGAGGTGCACTCCGGACTCATTAGTTCAAGGGGCGTGGGTCGCCGCTCCTGAAGCTGGCGAGCAATCTCCGCTTGGCTCAAGCCAGGCGACACATCTTTGGGAGCAGTCTGTAGATGCAGTTGCTGCTGCGAAGGGGAAACTGTCGCGGTAAGCTGTCTTTTCGGAGCAGGAGCAGCCGCTGCCTGGATTCCAAGGTTCGTTGGCAACATTCCGGTCAGTACTTTGCGCCTTCGTCCACGTGTGGCACCCACGGTGGGCATGTGCGGGGGAACTCCCGAAATTCCAGGTGCCCCTTTGTCCTTATGCTTACGGCGAATGGCGTCCTTGGAGGTCTGCGATCCTCCGGCAGCTCCCGACGTAGACGCAGGCTCCGAATCAGAGCTGTCTGTTGCATCGGTGTCGCTGGAATCCTTGGCCGGCTTCTCGTACAGTAACAGGCGGTCCAGTAGGAAGGTTCGATCCCGGGAAACCTTCAGCAGGCGCCGCTGGTTGGTGTGCAACAGATCCTGGAAGTACTCGTTCTCCTGTAAACACAAAAAGCTGTGACTTGCCGTGGCCAAGTTCAACTTTAAATATTTACATAAATTAGGAACTTCAGCTTCTTCTTCAGGTTCTTGTAGCGCTCCTTAAAGTCTGTGTCGTTGGCCCCCAATCCCGCGGAAACGGAGGATGAGCTAGCGATTGCTGCTCCGCGGGAAATGACCGGTACACGATCTCTGGTAGGCGGATGCGGCTCATCGTCACTCGGTGGCTCGTCCTTGATAGCGCCTTCTTCCTGGTTGGCCAGGGATCTACAGTACCAGCCCTCCAGCATTGTATTTTAATGCACCTCACTTTTTGTTAATTTTCTCTTCGTATACATGCCACGAAGAGATGGGAGCCTAGCGATAGTTGGAAAGGCCGCCAGTTCTTCGATAAGGGTTGTGCACCATCAATGTTGTTATCGGTTGGACTATTTAATAAGCTACCCTGATTAAGTACCGTTTTGAATTCACCGTTATTTTAAAATTAGGTTTCATTCCATATTCAGGCCCGCCAGGTAATGTTTTTTATCTTGTTTACCAAAAAAAAAAAGCGGACTTCTTAGAATAATAGGAAATACCAGTTTCACATATATTTCCACGGCGTTTTATTTTGTTATCACAAGGGTGGCCAAACAAAATCACAGTGGTAACATAAACCAAAAAAAAACAAATTGTAATTTCTTTGCAAACTTGGATCTAAATTTAATAAATAAAATTAAATTATTAAATCAAATTATTATTCTACCCTATCCTTAAGTTTTAAATAGTTTAATTAGACAGTATTTGTAGGATTCCTGATTATCCTTTGAAATATAATTTGTAGACTACATATTTTTAAAACCTATTGTAACATATTTTTAACTTAATTTACATTCTTTTAAAATAAAATGTTGTTTTCTTGAAAAAGTTTTCTATAAAGTGGTTAAAAAACATAACTATTTTTTACCTAATAAAGAAATACAAACTTTCCAAGTTTTACTATCAGATATAGATATTTTGATTTCCTAATTTATGTATAGTTAAAAGATTTTAAGCTACTAAGAAAGTCCATTTAGAGTTAAATAAATGATGAACAGACACTAAATCTTGTTTTTTTAATTATTTTTATTGACAATTTTGATGGGTCATAACGATAAGAATATAAATTTTTGATTACAGTTTATAGCTTGGCATATTGCCACTCATGAACTACCATTGACGATTGGATGTCCTTTAGAGTTTGGCAACCGATCAGCGCCATGGTGATCTCGAAATCTTTTCTGAGCACACTAAGCATTTCCTCCACGCCCTTCTGGCCGTTGTAGGCTAGAGCCCAGATAGCTGGACGACCCACAAAGACAGTTTTCGCTCCAAGAGCCAGAGCCTTAAATATGTCATTGCCCTGCATAATGCCTCCGTCCATCATAACCACTAGATCCTCGCCCACGGCTTTCACAATCTCCGGCAGAGCTTCAATCGAGGCCGGAACCGTGTCGATTTGACGTGCTCCGTGGTTGGACACAATGAGTCCGGCGCATCCGAACTCCCTGGCCAGCACCGCATCCTCGGCAGTCAGCACACCCTTCACCACAATGGGCAAATGGGTGATGCTTTTCAGCCAGGCAATATCCTTCCAGGTAATGGTGGGATCAAACTGGCTGGACACGTACTCGTTGATGCCTGAGGCGCCCATGGTGGCGTTACCCACACCTGTGGCCTTAACACCCTGGAAATTGGCCAGTGTCAGGTGTGATGGCAGGCTAAAGTTGTTGCGCACATCGGCACGACGGTGTCCAAAGATGGGTGCATCGATGGTCAGGACGAGGGCTTTGAAGTTGGCCTTCTCGGCACGACGCACCAGTTTTTCTGTTATGGTTCTAAAACAAGAAGGGTCAGTGACAAAGATAATGGTGTATATGGGCCACTTCTAACCGATCTTTGTAGATGTAAAGCTGGAACCACTTGACGGTGTCCGGGGCACCAACTGCCAGATCCTCAAGGGAAGTGGTAGACAGAGTGCTGAGTATAAAGATCGAGCCAGCTTTCCCGGCCGCCCTGGCATTACCGACCTCGCCATCCGGGTGGGCCATCTTCTGCATTGCAGTGGGAGCAATGCCCAGCGGCCATTTCATCTGCTCTCCGAGGATTTTGCAGCCAATGTCCAGGCGGGAAACGTCCCTCAGACAACGCGGACGCAGACGCAGCCGGCGGAATGCTTCACGATTCAGTCCCAACGTGAATTGCTCACCGGCCCCACTGCGATAGTAGTCCAGTGCATTCTTCTCTAACTGGACAACGGCCTTCTTCTCAAAGTCCTCCACACACACCAAGGCCATATCTGTTACGTAATGGTTAAATGGAAATATACAATGTTTTGCAGCACCTCTCGCCGCACCTCCCAGATTCGAACTAAACCCACTGAGATTAGGGGCCAGCATCAACAGCTTTTGCCTGGCGGGGTCCATAAACCGAGAGATCGCGATAAGAACGCTGTCTGCCGGCTGCAACTGATAAGAGACCCCTCCCTATCCCGAGATTATAGAGCGCAAATCATCGCAGAGATCATCCCAATGGAAGACGCAGTTTCCCTACTCTACATGGGGGGTAGCTGCTGTGATAAGACCCCACTTTCGATTTGGCAGGGCTAAGGTTAATTTGCATCACGTACCTCCTGCAGGTTCCAATGCGTTCAATGTCCAATTTTCACACGCTGATTCCTATTTCATGCGGGGGTTCTGCTTTCAAATAGTTTAAACGAGTGGAAGCTCGCTGGAAATTGTGAACTATCAACGGGTTTATTGAAAATAACGTAAAATGTCTGTAGAAAACTCACTCTTAGAACTAGTTAACCATCTCGGGCACTTTAAACACTGTACGACGCCTTAAGGTTGTTAAAGTACTCCAAATCTTTTGCGCTGATCGAAGGTACAAACTTGTTGAACGACTTGGTAAAGTCTTCTGCCTCCACAATAACGTTCTCCGGTAGCAGTTCCTTCTCTGAAATTGCTCCACTCAAGTGTCTGTCTATAATGCGTCTTACAGCCGAGAGCCAGGCATTTGAACAGATGGAGTACAGATCTGCTCCGCTCATTTCACTCTTCAAACGCTCAGCAATTTGGTCCATGTCCACTCCGGATTCAAGGGCGAATCTCTGGGTCTGAGCACGTAGCACGGCTGCCTTGTCATCGGCCGTGGAGCAGGGTCCCACGTAGAAGAGCTTGTCGAAACGACCGGGACGCAAAAGGGCGGGGTCAATAAGATCCGGGCGATTGGTGGCGGCCAGTATGAATATGGGCTTGCTTGTATCGCCATCGCTCATTCCGTCCATCTCGGCTAGAAGTTGCGACACCACCCTATCCATAACACCTCCAGAATCACCCGCAACACCTCGATTGGGAGCCAGGGAGTCCAGTTCGTCCAGAAACAGCACACACGGAGCCGCAGAACGAGCACGGGAGAAGACCTCGCGAACATTTTGCTCGCTCTGGCCCACGTACATGTTGAGCAATTCCGGACCCTGCACCGAAAGGAAGCTCAGGTTGCACTCGGTGGCCACAGCCTTGGCAACCAGGGTCTTACCGGTTCCAGGGGGTCCGTAGAGCAGAATGCCCGATCTTCTCAGATTCTTGCCCATAAGATGTACATGCTTAAGCGGCAGCCCTATGCTACTCTGGATCTCGTCCTTTAGTTTGGCCAGGCCACCAATATCTGACCAATAGACCTTTGGCACCTTGGGCGCACCCAAACTATCGGCGAAGGAACTCTGCATGTCGGTTAGGTTCTTGGCAAAGTGGGACATGTCTAGAGTTGTTCTACCCAACCGTTTGCGAATCTTCATGCGTACAGCACTGTCGTAGAGCAACTGCAGGTCGCCCAGCAGAAAGCCCTGCGACTTGGCGGCTACTTCCTGCAGTACATTGACAGTTTCCCTCCAACTTGGAGTTATACGCGACATGAACTGCGACTGATTTTCCCGCGAAAACAAGGGCAACTGATCGATGCCCTTTTGGTTGTAAATCACATCGTTAAAAGTCTCGCGCACGTGCATCCAACGAAGGATCTCGAACCGCTCCTCCTTGCTGGGCATCTCAATGCTTACGATCTCCAGGAAAAGACCTTGAATCACGGGTTTAAGGTGCCTGTCGCTGGTCAAAGCCACGACAACAATTGGGTGCTTGCGATCCCTGTTGAAGAGCTCCTGAACCTGCACATGGAAGGCCGAAAGCAGACGTAGATCCTCATTTCCCTCGTTGTCTATGCCAAATATCTGTAAAAAAAAATTTGTTAGGTTAATATTTAAATTAAATCGGGTGAATCCCACTCACCTCAAAGTTATGGAAGCAAATTAAGAGCGGTTCGCTTATTTGGCTTTTGGCAAAGACCGCCTTCAGCTTCATCTCTGTGTGCGAGGGAACCTGTGAAACGATCTCCGCGCAATCCGCACCATAAATATGCATGCCCAACTCCTGGGCTACTGCATTGACGAGCTTTGATTTGCCAGATCCCCGTTCGCCCTGAAGCAAGAAAACCGGAAAGATGTGCTTGGAGGATAGACAAGCGGACTTCTTAGGCAGGAAGGCGTCCACAGAGGAGCGCAGCAGTTGATAGGGCTTTCGCAAACCACTTGGATAATTCTCCACAATGGCCACGTTGTCGAGCACTTGGCGAGGCAGGAAGCTGTGAGCTGGCGGTACTTGAACCAGGTTGCTGAAGTTCTTGGCCACCACCGCCTGCAACTCAAACTCGCTGCCCTTCGTCTCCAGGTGAATGCACTTTAAGTGAACGTGACGCAGGTTGGCGAATATAAGGTAATAGTGCGCAAAGGTTGCAGTGCCCAACAACTCGGCATTCACCTCGATGCGGTATATATGTCCACGATGCAAAAGTCGCGGTGTGTTAAAGTAGTTGCTAAGGATGAGCTCCGTCAGTTCAGCGGGCAATTCATGGGGATCCGACACCAAGTACACATGAGCTTTGGTGGCTATGCCTGGTATGGTCTGCTCATCAGCAAAGTGCTCAAGTTGCACCCAACAGTTGGAGCGGACACGGAAGCGGTCCAGTATGTTGCCATAGAAGTTTTCCTGAAATAATTTTATATATAAAATAAAGAACTTTTTTTAATTTTTACTGGGATGGATAAAAGGGTTTCTTATCTCAAAATAAGCAACTTTTCAAAAAGATTTTTAAATGTATTGTGTTAATCAGTTTTAACTCATTTTGACCCTGTTTCTTAATAATTTTTATATTTTTTGCAAACATTTTCATCCAGAAAAGAGTAAAAAATTCTAATTTTGTATAACTAGTTTTAAAATTATTATCTGGTCTTAAAACTGAATTTAAACATTTATCAAAAATCGAATATTCAAAATTGAGAAACCCACATAACTCTTTTATACTCCTTGATAAGAACTACTCACCTGGACATAGAGGCAATTAGGTTGACACTGGGCCACCGGAAGTATCTGGGCGACAATGGTGTGCGGGGCCTCCTGAAGCATTTGCTTAATGACCGTTTGTGGCGTGGATCCTCCATCTCCGGCCAGGGGTTTACTGATCTTATCCCTTCCGCCACGGATCACCAAGTTGACAAAGTTGACGTCCGGCGACTCAGCAAAGGTGTCGTACACGTCCCGACTGGCGAACACCAGGTGCTCCGACTTGATCAGCTCGTTCTTTATCAGCAGATCGTAGAGGCGATTCGGAATGGGGGTCAGCAGCAACTTGCCCTTGTAATATTTGGCGTAGCGCCAGTATACGGCGTATGTCAGATATCCGGGGTAGAAGTACCAGGGCCATTTGGGCGTCAAAAGCTGTACAGCGGAATTGTAGCCCTCGACTAGCTCTTGGACGCGTCCAGAAAAGCTGAATCTCGGCTGGCCAGGATCTTGTTGGTCGAAGGACACCGAATTCCGCTTACCCACAACCTTTTTCTGCGGAAACCAAACAGAAATTAGCTAATCGGGTTAAATTAAAATTAGTTTTATTAGTTGTTGACCTACCGCAGCATCATTTTCATTCATTTTTCACAAAAACTATGGACAAACACAACAGAAAGCACTAGTACAAGGGTTAATTTCAAGAGGCGGTGTCAAAGTTCAAGGAGCTGGGGGGTGGGCGCCAGACAAATACACTGAAATAAGCAATGGCAAGTCAATCCAGTTAATGCACAGCGTATTATTACCCTTTGCAATCGAAATAAACCAATTTGCTTGGCCAGTTTCGTTGGATTTTACCTTTTTTACAATTACTCTCCTCTTCATTACGAATGTTTTGGTTCAGATAACAAAAATACTTAGAAAAATACTACAAATATTTTGGCAGCCCTGCACCGGCTATAAGAACTACAGTAAGCTCTCGCTTGTAATATATACAGAGTAATAAGTATTATATATAAAACATATGAGTATATATAAAGCATTTGATGGTTTTAATGAGATTTTTTTACATCACATGAACATTATTTAACAAAGAAACAATATAATTATATACAAATTTTACCGTATTACCTAATTTCTTTCAACTATAACTTACTGTACCTGTTGGTATTTTAAGTATATTTCATGCATTATGTGGTGTTTTTGGCAGATTCAAACCTGGTCACATAACCACGCAAAACAAAATAGTACAGGTCCTCCGTATATTTTTATTTTCCGCGAAAATGAGTATGGAAATGAGTAATATCAACGGCGGAAACGGGACCCAAACGTCCCACGATAAGCGTGAGTTGCTCTGCCTGCTTAAACTCATCAAGAAGTACCAACTGAAAAGCACGGAGGAGCTACTCTGTCAGGAAGCGAATGTGAGCAGTGCGGATTTGTCGGAAATCAGCGAAACCGATGTTCAGCAAGTGCTTGGAGCGGCTCTGGGACTTGGAGATGCCAGCCGGGAGCGGAAGCATGTCCCTGCTGCGCAACAGGATCACAAGCCATCGGTGGTGACGGAGGCCAATGCCGCGGAGGCGCTGGCCAAGTTCATCGGCGACGATAGCTTTGATGCCCAGCACTACGAGCAGGCCTACATGGAGCTGCGCACCTTCGTGGAAGACTCCCTGGACATATACAAACACGAGCTGTCCATGGTCCTGTACCCCATTCTGGTGCAAATCTACTTCAAGATGCTCGCTAGTGGACTAAAGGAAAAGGGCAAAGGGTTCATTGAGAAATATAAGTCCGATCTCGATGGCTACTACATAGAGGGCCTGTTTAATCTCCTGCTCCTGTCCAAGCCGGAGGAGCTGCTGGAGAACGACCTGGTGGCCGCCATGGAGCAAGATAAGTTTGTGATCCGCATGTCTAGGGATTCCCATTCGCTGTTCAAGCGACACATCCAGGACCGCCGGCAGGAGGTGGTGGCGGACATTGTGTCCAAGTATTTACACTTCGACACCTACGAGGGAATGGCGCGGAACAAGCTTCAGTGCGTAGCCACGGCGGGCTCTCACATCGGCGAGGCCAAGAGACAGGACAACAAGATGCGTGTGTACTATGGCCTGCTCAAAGAGGTGGACTTCCAGACCCTGACCACCCCAGCGCCGGCGCCGGAGGAGGAGGATGACGATCCGGATGCCCCGGATCGCCCCAAGAAGAAAAAGCCCAAAAAGGATCCACTGCTGTCGAAGAAGTCAAAATCGGATCCGAATGCCCCCTCGATTGATAGGATTCCCCTGCCGGAACTTAAGGATTCGGATAAGTTACTGAAACTGAAGGCCCTCAGGGAAGCAAGCAAGCGTCTGGCCCTCAGCAAAGATCAGTTGCCCTCCGCTGTCTTCTATACGGTGCTTAATTCTCATCAGGGCGTTACATGTGCCGAGATCTCAGACGACTCCACCATGCTGGCCTGCGGATTTGGAGACTCTAGCGTGAGGATATGGTCTTTAACGCCCGCTAAACTGCGTGCGCTAAAAGATGCGGAGGCGTTGCGGGAGCTCGACAAGGAGTCATCGGATATCAATGTGCGCATGCTAGACGACCGAAGCGGGGAGGTAACCAGAAGTTTTCTGGGCCACACCGGACCCGTTTACCGCTGTGCCTTTGCTCCCGAGATGAACCTACTTCTCTCGTGCTCTGAGGATAGCACCATTAGACTGTGGTCACTGCTCACCTGGTCCTGCGTGGTCACGTACCGTGGACACGTTTACCCGGTGTGGGATGTCCGCTTTGCGCCACACGGCTACTACTTTGTCTCTTGCTCCTACGACAAAACTGCTCGCCTGTGGTCCACGGACTCCAACCAAGCGCTCCGAGTCTTTGTCGGCCATCTGTCGGACGTGGACTGCGTGCAATTTCATCCCAATTCCAATTACGTGGCCACCGGGTCGAGCGATCGGACGGTGCGTCTGTGGGACAACATGACAGGCCAGTCGGTGCGCCTAATGACGGGTCATAAGGGATCGGTAAGTTCACTAGCCTTCTCCGCTTGCGGACGGTACTTGGCGTCCGGATCGGTGGACCACAACATTATCATCTGGGACCTGTCCAGCGGAGCACTGGTCACCACCCTGCTAAGGCACACCAGCACCGTATCAACGATTACCTTCAGTCGCGATGGAACTGTGCTGGCGGCGGCGGGCTTGGATAACAACATGACTCTGTGGGACTTCCACAAGGTTACCGAGGACTATATCAGCAATCACATTACTGTATCGCACCATCAGGACGAGAATGACGAGGATGTCTACCTAATGCGCACGTTCCCCAGCAAGAACTCCCCGTTCATCACCCTGCACTTCACGCGACGCAATCTCCTCATGTGTGTGGGTCTCTTCAAGAGTTAGGATCACAGGTTAGCGTAGTCGATATACGTAAAGTAGGCTTAAGTAATTCCCGGAATGTTTAGGATTAAATTTTGTAATCCATTTGTGCCCCTTTCCCCTGGAATGTCTTAGATTTGTAAGCTCAAAAGTGTGTGTATGCATAACTTATCAATACATTTTAATCAAGAAAAAAGTCGCTTATTTGGGTCCTTATATATAATTCATATTTATTTAAAAGTCATACAATGCATATACACAAATGAATACGCAACTGGAACAATTAACTACTCTGCATCGGCGAGGCCAAACGTCCGGCGCACGGCCACCGAGTTCTTGATGTTGAATATCGCACAGCGCGGAGGCTTCTCCCCGCCAAAGGCCAGGGTATAGGGATCCTCCGGACACTGGCGCATGCACTGCAGACGACCCATGTTGAACTCGTGCTCATAGACGTGCTTGGCTTCCGTGCCGTTAAAGTTCCACACCTTGAGCGTGCCCTCCGTGGAGATGGAGGTCAGCAGGTTGGGCATCTGGCTGTTGAAGCACACTCCGGAGATTTCCTCGTTGTGGGCCTTCAGGGACCACAGCACCTGGTTGGGCGATCGCTTGTCGGCGTAGTGCAGGCTGCCATCGTTGGTTCCCACGATGAAGTAGTCGTTTTGGGTGGGATGCCACAGGACCTTCTCCACCTCGCCATCGACTTTCCACTGGACGCTGGACGAGTTCACCGCATCGGCGTCACGGCAGTCGAATAGTCTCACATATCCATCAGCACAGCCGGTGAGTATGCCCTGGGCCTCTGTAGGATGGAACTCCAGCGACTGCACCTTTTCGCCAAAGGCTGTGATGGTCGTATGGGGTTGGCCCTCGTCCATGTCCCAGAGGATCACCGTCTGGTCCACGGACCCGCTGGCCAAAATGTGCTCGAAGTTGGTGTTCCACGAGAGATCTAGCACTGCGTCCTTGTGTCCGTACTGCTCCTTGTTTTGCTTGCGGCTGCCCTTGGAGCCCAGTTTAAATGTAGGCTCAATGGAGTCCTGGATGTCCAGATCCCAAATGGTAATGATGGGGTCCATGCAGCCGATGGCGCACATGTTGCCGGCCTTGTCGCTGCCCGCATCATGGTTCATCCACTCTATGCAGAGCGGAAAGCTGGGCAGCAGAAAGTCGTGGTGCGTGTACAGAGCCTCCTCCTCCTGGTTGAACACCCACACCTCCATTGAGGCCGCGTCGTCCTGGACGTGGCCCACTAGAATAAGGTTGTCGCTGGGCTTAATAACCTCGTCCTCGGCCTCGGAATCCTCGTCCTCGTCGGGAACTTGCTCTTCGGCGTCCACAATGTTGGCCAGGCTGGTGACATTGGCGTTCTCCTCGTTGTCGTAATTCTGGAACTGGAATTCGTCTCCGGGATTTCGATTCTCACTGTTTGCATCCTCGTGGTCGTCCACATCCATGCCGTCCCCCTCAGCCGTGCCACCTTCGCCCTCCTCTGCCTCGTCGTCGCTATCCTCGTCTAATTCCTGCTGCGTATCGCCGATAATCCTCGCCAGCTCCGCCTGTGTCAACACGATCTTGTCGGGTCGATCCTTGGCCACGCCCCGTGGCACGAAGCACAGTGCGGGCACAAAGTCGATGCTCGCCTCCGGTGGTCCTTCCTCTGCCATTATTTAAATATGTTAAACAAAGTTTTCCCAACTAAACGAAATAATCAACACGTGCAGTTCAAACGAGGCAGAGTGTGACCGAAGCGTACGAATTTTAATTATAGTACTGGTTCAGAAAAACATACTAAAATCTATGATAAAGTTTTAAATATATATTTATATTATTTACGTTTTTTATTTATTTATTTATTTGTTACGTTTTTAATATAACTGTAATAGTTTAATCAAATAATTTTACATTTTGTAAGGGTTTTTTTTAAGATAAATTTAATACATTTTAAATAATATTAAGCGTCTACAACGTAACGTTTTTTAATTTACGTATTTGTAGATTTACTTATTTTTTGTAATTATGCTTGGTTTACTTTAAAGAACGAGAAACGCTCGTTTTAAACGCCGTTGATTTATTGATGTACCTTTCTTATCTTTCCTTCATCCCGCTTATCAGTTCTTTTCCCATCTTAATGCAATCAGAGATTTGATATTATTCACCGGAGCTTTTGATATTTCCAGATATATCTCCAATATACAGTCTTTTATTTGGTTTCAGAATGGACGCACGTAAATTTTCGACCCACATACTGGACACCTCCGTGGGAAAAGCGGCCGCCAATGTCAAAGTAACTGTTTCCTGGCTGGACGAGATCCAGGAGTGGAGATCTCTTCGTGCTGCCCAAACTGATGCGGATGGTCGGTGTCTGCTTTTAGAGCCTGGACACTTTCCCAGTGGAATCTACAAGCTGACTTTTCATGTGGGTGCCTATTTTTCGGAGCGCGAAGTAAGGACTCTGTATCCAGCAATTGATATCATTGTGGACTGCAGTGAAAATCAACACTATCATATTCCTTTGTTACTCAATCCCTTTGGATATTCTACTTATCGTGGTACATAGTTAAACAAGTAAAAATATAAAGCTAAAACTATTAAAAATACATTTTAATGTCTATGCACTAATGTTTTAGAGTTTTTATTTAAATACATTTAAGACCATCTCAATTAAAATGTACTTACGTAACACGAGATAGCAAGAAAATAAAAAACATTATTTTAAAAACTGAATACGAAATTTGATCGATAACTGTGAGTCACGACAGAGTTTTGTTCTTCCTGCGTGACCTTCCGTCAAAATCCAGTCACGCGTTCATCTCTATTCGCCAAGTATCTTACCATCTCTGGCCAGTATTTAGTGTCGTTTCAGTTTGTATTTTGCGGATGTCGCGGGAGGTTCGTGCGTTCGCTCCGTTGTCGGTGTTTGGAATTGAATGTTTTTGAAACGGTGATCGGGTCTTTTGTACGCCGGTACTTTGCATAAAATAAAATCAAAATTAAAAAATACAATGCCGTTACAAGTTCCAATTGGAAAATAAGTGCGGGATACCCCTGAGTTCTTCGGATCTCCTCGGATTCTGCCTCCCACAGAGGCGCAACAGTTGTTTTGAAATAAGAATCTGTATGGAAATGATATCCGTGTGTGTTTTCGAAGAGTTAAACAAGAAGTTGGATTTGTTATTGGAAAGTACAAACACACAGCAGCACTTCTCCCATAGACACACACTCGATGCGGCCGAGCCAACAAATCCCCAACAAATCTTAAACCAGTTTTAAGATACATATTCTTGGTGTCAGTGTGTGCATGTTGATTTTTTCTGGCATTGTTTTCGTTTTTTTATTTCGTGCTGCTGGCTCTGCATCTTTTTTGTGTACCCTTTTCGCTTGCCTCTGCCTCTAATCGCGTTTCCATTTTCTGGCCGCCGTCCAGATCCGAGGTTTTGGGTTTGGGCTCGTGGTCCGGCCGAGCAACAAGTACCCCTGCCTAGTACCTATTGCTATATCCATACCCATACCAAGTGCCTGCCCGCGTCTCGCTCCGTCTCCCACCTGAAAACCCGAAAAACACGGAAAGAAACGAGCTTAGATTCTAACGAGATCAGCACGCCAGTTGGTAATTGTGCCCCAATTGGTCCATTTTGACTGCTCTACGCGGCACCACGAAAATCCGGCGTAGATCGCACCAATAAATTTAAAAGGTGAGTTGCGGTGTTGTACTATATTCAGGGTCTTGGCGATCTCATATGGTCATGAGAAATTATGACTTTTTACTTATAACTGTTACCCAGAACCAGTTGCTATATAAAAATAAAAAACTGTTTATCTGTTTTTAAAACCATATATTCCAATAAATTACTAATTTAACGAAATTCAGAAATTTAAAAACATAAAAATATATATATTTAATATATTTTAATTAATATTTTATAAATTAATTGACTGCTCAAAATATACCTATTAATATAAAAAATATTAAAAACTTACTTTACCTAAAAGTTCGAATTTAATATGAATCCAAATCTGAGCTTCAAAACATTTTGAGATAAAACTAGATTTTTGTGTGGTTCTTCAATCAATTAAATTAATTAAATGTATTGATGGTGCAAAAATGTCGCCAGAACCAGTTGGAACACAAAAGCAAAATTAACACTTTCATTATTCATGCGGTATACAAGTTCTTTGGAACGTGGGAAACATTTTGTGTAAGCTCTTCGATAACAAATTTTAAATTCAATGTTGGCTTAATTTCGAAAACAGTTTTGCTAAGTTGTCTAGCCCGAGGACTATTACCTCACCGTCTATGCGACATATCGGCCAATTCGGTTTACCTAATAATTGAAAGTTCGGCTTCGCATTAAAACGCAATCAAAATGACAACTTGCTAACGGCCAATTAATCATAAACCTCAATGAATACGGCAAAAGGCCGAAAAATTGTGTATATGTAATTGATAATCGATCCGACGATAAATACTTTCCTGGCCCGCAGCTCTGGCCAAAAACCAATCATTAATAACTGTAGTCGAAAGATAAATAAAACTATGGCTGCGAATACCGTTTTACGAGGCGCTGGAAAAGTGTCAAAAATCGTAACCTACGTGGATATAATTTGCACTGACGTAAAGCCAAAAACCTAATATGCGATGATCGTTAAACGCTGTAGGCAAATTAGAGAGCGGCTAACCGGCCAAAGTGCAGAAAAGAAGGCAAAAGTTAGCTCCAAAAACAAAACAGCAGCATCAAGAAACAACAGAAAAATACAAAAAACTTAAAGACTGCTCAGTTGGGGGGTAAAAATGGGGGGAAATCGGCACTGCATGAGCATGTTTGTCGTCGAGTTCAGCTGACATCGCAAAATGGCAAGAAGCCTCTCTAAGATACACTGAAAACAAGTATAACTTTAGTCCTAATATCATAGGGTCAATATGCAAGGGAATATATCAATAAAATAAATTTTATTAGGTAGGTGCGGCCCAACCCCCCTGTTGCTTCAGTTTGGAACTTTTGCCTGCAGTAATCAATAATAAAAATTCAACATTTATTTTTATATTTAGATTTTAGTCTTTAGTACTTTTAGTTACTGTGCAGGGTAATTAACGAATATGTTAGAAATCAAATATAATAATTTCTTCAATCTTAGGAAAGTGCAGTTTACATAATTCTTATTACCATTTTTACAATGAATATCATCTAAGCTTTCACTAAATTAAAAAAAAACATTATATTTTTAACTGTGTAGCTGAAATGGCAAGACCAAACAGGAAATGAACCCGCATGCACTTTTTCAAGTACCTTTCGTTCGAATTCGCTGGCCGATTGCATCGAGTCGTATACTCGAGCACCGGAGTTGGAGCTCTGACTTGAGCTTGAGCTTGGTCTAAAGTAAATTTTGTCGTCGTCTTGTGTTTCTTAGTTTGCTTTTAAGTTGTGCAAGTACCCAGCATTTTTTAAAAGGGTTTCAAAGGGGCATACTCGATCACTGAGTTCAGAGAACAATGCTAAACGTACGAGAAATCGAATGCAAATTCTCACCAATTTTATTTTAGCCTTGAATTATGGAAACTCTTTTGGGATAAATATGCTATGACTGGGTTTCTAAAATAAGTGCATTAGTTTTACAAGATTTTGAATATTCTAATGTTTTTGATTTAAGATAAGCTTTTAAGTCCGATAATTTATTAAAAGGCTTTAATTTTCATTTTTATTTAACATATATTTTATGTTTTTTATTTAGAAGTTTACAATGTATTCATTTCATTTTCTGTCTCTAAAGTTTGTCGAAGATATAAGATACATTTAGTTAAAAATGCCACAGAATAACATAAATTGCAGATATTGTTTTCAATAAAATAAAAAATTGTTTGAATCAGTTCGACTTATATGTAGACCTTGACTTTTTAGATTTCTACAATTTATTACAGCTTAATTATTTTTTGTATGAAATTTATTGTCTAAAACTTCAAAAAAAGATCAGATTGGCAGATGCATTTTTCTGCGCTAGCGGTTCAAAAAATAGGTATCTCAATCGCGATCCCAAAACATTAGCCTTACCTTTTAGTTTTATTTTATTGCATTTTGTTTTGTTAATTTCCATGCAATTTCAGGGCATTTCATTCCGCTTGGGCGTAGTTGTTCCCGTACCCAAGTAGATGTTTTTCGCAATGTTTGCGCAGTTGTGTGGGCCTGCATTTGTTTCGGAGTGCGGGTTGCAGGGGTGCGGATGCGGATGTGTGAGTCGACCAACCTGTTCGGAGCTCAAGGAATGAGTCAGCGCTGGGGGTTCGCATCCATGAGATACAATTTGAGTAGACTCGGTAAAGTGTTTGCCGAGGACACCAGGGACTGCGGGGTCCTTCTTCCTTTCTGACCTGCACTCAAGCGTTTATCCGTCGAAGGTTTTGATTATTTTGTTTCATGTGCCCTTAGCAGTGTCTCATATTACAGGCGGAATGTAGTTGTATCCCCTGCCATCCGTATCTTTCCTTCTTTGCTTTGTTCATCGCCCCTTTGCTTCATTTCCCGTCTTTGCATGGGGTCACTCTAAATGCGTTCAATGTGTAGTTTCCGATAAGCCTGCCTTATGATATGCTTAAAGGGCGAAGCCGTACTTCGGCTCTTTAATTTTGCGGGATACAAAATTAGTTACAAAATTGATTGGTACCGAATGGCACCTAAAGATAAATAAGTTAAGTTTATATTTAAAGTTGTAAAATAAACATTTCTTATCTAGTTTGACATTTTTTTTATGAAAGCATTACAGGCAATGAAATGGTTCTGTTTATTTTAACAGGCAGCAAACTTTTGAACAGTATATATTAAAAGTATTCTGGTTCGAAAATATAAATGCAAGCCTATAAGAAATTCAAAAATAACAAAATAACAAATTATAACATTAAATAAATAATTTAAAGAAGTAAAATAGTACTTTGTGACTGTGTCACTGTTTTCGATATATTTGATAGCACTATAATAATGACAATTTTTTCCGATCTTGAATATTTTCTTAGAATAATTATGACATTATTCTGGAGCACAAATACCTGAATTCGTGTAAGACAGACGACCTTGACAATCTCTGGCCCAAGCTCTTGGCATAATTATCGTGTTTGGGGTTTATTCCACACGCTTCGCCCAATGTTTAGCAAATAGATTTGGAGTGCGCTTAGTGCCTTCCTTACCTTCCCACCTACTTACCCGCACTCCAAGTGGATTGCAGCAGGTGGCGTGACTAAGACATTCCGCCATGGCAAAGTGAGTTTTTCAAAATTCGAAACTAATTTCAGAGTTTTTGTAGCCGCTCTTTTTGCGTCTATTTTTTACCTGTGACTCTCCATGCGCTTTATAGTTCGCTAGCTGCTGCTGCTAACGAGCATTATTTCAGTCTTCCAAGCAGGCTTTTATTTTAGCAATTTTTTATATTTTTATTTCTGCACACACATGACCACTTTTATGGTTTCGGCATTAAAAATGTGGCGCAAAATTCAAACACATGAGTGTAATTGAAAAAGCATGAGAGATGCTTAATGGGTGGGGTATATGGGGGTTTTTGGGAGGGAGGGGGTTGTATTAGCCGAAGTCAGTCGCGCACTAAATCCCAATGGTAACGCACCCATTAATCACAAAAGAGAAACAATAATGCTCGGACGGGCGAAAAAGTGGTAAAAGCCGCAGTCGAAAAACTGCAAGCAATTGCTTAAAGATGTTCCTGAAAGATACCAGTCGAGTGTTAATTAATAAGTTTTATGTCTTGCGATATGTACTTGAAATTCTAAAAATACAAGCATCCAACTATGGTGAGTCAGTGGCGATTCTCACATGGAATGTGATCACTTTCGACGGAAATTCGCTACAGCATCTAGATTTTATTGTCTGATATTTGGACATTTTAGCATGCTGGCACTACTGGGTGTGGTGGACTCGTCACCCCCTCTATAAAGTTTAATTAGTGCGAATTGCGTTGTGCAAAACAGTTAGCTTCTGTCTTTGCCAATTTTGTTGGTTAGGGGAACGGCTGTAATGGGGCAATTAAAAGCAATGTTAATGGGATACAAATGGGAGAGGGATATCCCATTCGCACATACAAATGTTTGCAAAACAGGGAGAGTAATACACTCGTGAGTGTATGCAACTAATTAATTAAGAAAATGTTAATGTGGTGGGGGTGAAAATAACGACAGAATACTGATGTATCAATTACATTTCGCACGGAAACGATAAGAACTCTGAAACTCTAACGCATCGTAGAAACATTTAAAAAAGTTTCCAATTTATTTACTCATATATTCTTAGTTTTAATTCTGGTAACAATTACAAATGGAAGGTTACTATATATTATTGGCATATATGTACATTACGAAATAACTCCTTAATATTTATTTTTAGGTATTAAAGAGGAAGCCTTTAAGGGTTTCAATATATAAGATAAATTCATTACACTATTTAGCATTCTCAGCTTTTCCACAGTTTCTTTAGGTCTTACTTATGTTTTTAAAGTCTTTCGATTTAAAGAATATATTTCTTTTCTGCTGAATTATATCCTTTGGTACATTAATATTCAGCACTGTATCGTCTTTGTTTCGGTGCTAACTCAATAAGAACGTTTCGTTTGAGCCCTGCCATGAGTGTTTCAAGTAAACTGCTATTATTAGCAAGTACTTATGCCCGTTTCGGCCAGCTCATTAGCCATTCTGGGCACAAGC